AAAAAAAAAAAAAAAGAAGAAAAAAAATAGAAAAAAGAAAAATGATAAAAGGAAAAAATGGGAAAAATGAAATATAAAAACGAAAAAGAAGGGAGAGAAACAAAAGGGGAAACCAGGCGGGTATGTACATACAGGAATCTCTTGCGCTAGGTTATGTTTCACAGTGACATAGTGGCGGCGGCAATGGAGGCTTCGCCTATCGTAACGCGATATCCGGTGGAAATGTCGAATTTGAAGTATTCGTCCGTGGCATTTGCCGCACGGAAATTACCGATGCCCCAAATTTCGCGACACTGCCTTTTGTCCGACGTTCGAACGAGATTAAGCTTGGTTCACACCAGCGATCAGTCACGATCTTGGATTTTATCAGGGTGCTCACATGTTCAATGGTCGAGTGAGTTGTTACTTTAAATCTTGAATAATGACGGATCAAGAAACATGCATTTTGTTCGTGAAGTAATTTTCTAATTATCAGTGTGAATAATTATCAATAATTACCAATACCATCTTGATGGGACATCATTTGGTCTTATAATGAATTTCGTTGTTAATAAATTGGTATCAAATAGGCTTGGTGTGTTCTGGCTTAAACATCACTTGAAACAATTAATAATATTAGAAATTGGAAAAATGTCGTTCTCTAAGTACGTTCTGTTAATTTCGAAGGAGGAAGATGATTTTAGAGGAATTTCAATTTTCTTCCCTGTTTCGATCCACAATTTTACTTCTTTTATTTTAGAATGAGCAGTACTTTTCACGGCTGATAGAAATCACAGAATCCACTGTAATTTCGTGTAACTTTCATCAAATGTTCATTCGTCACGTATCTTTTTAACTATTCTCAGTTGATGATCGCGAAACTCTTGTCAGCAGTATCTCGATCATTATCAAACTCTGCAGTCAAGAGATTCTTATCTCTCTTGATTCAACCGCGTATAATTGCGAATGCTCATATTGAGTCACAGTAAAAAAACTTCTCGAGAAACAAATAGTTTATACAATAGGATTTTTCGTTCAACCTGCAAGAGTTTATTCAGTCGGATATTGTCTAAAATTTGGTACAAACAAATAGAGTGACATTGACGCGATCAAACCGATCTTTAACCACTAGTGCGAATCAGGCGTTACTCTTTCGTTCGTGGCCAGGATTAGAGGGGGAGGGAAAAATGTGTATGGGGTGAAAGAAAGTTTCGTTCGCTCTTCGACTAACCCGAGTTTCCCTGCCGAGCATCATCGAGAACATGCCAACGATCTCTTCGCGTTCTCGTTTACGTGAAACGCCTCTCTATCGGCATCGAATCGGAGAATGAGAGACACTGGCGCTCGTTCTCCTGGCCTATCGCTACTAATACAGATCTCACGCACTTCTCCCCTCGATATAAACCATTCTCTACCCTTGTGCACGCCGTATGGGAACCCGTACGTGCACAACGCAGCAACCTTGAACGACCACCGCCGGAACGGCCATTCAGATTTAAATCGCGACAAAAAGAATATGGATTCCCCTCCGTGGTGGCAGCTAGCACGTAACACGGTGTCGGACCTCTTTCACGGTTTCGTCGCGACCGCTGCAAGACCCGGGGATATCTGGGACATCGGATCATTTTCTGTGTAGGTACGTGGGACATCTTGGATTTTCGTTTCGATTGTGTGATTAGACTGGGACATTTTCACGTCTCTGCGAGTTTTATGTTCATGCAAAGACTAATTAATTAAGGGAATTGAAGGGAACTGCAAGCAGAAATTTCGATTTCTGTTACTGGTTGTGAGTATTGTAAGAAGTACTTCGTTTCGAATATTTTATACATATATTTTCTTTGTGCATTGTGAAAGTTTCTGCGTTGTTCTTAAATTTTTCGAAAAATGCGTTAAAATCAGTAATACAATGATAATGTCAGAATGTTGTGTAAATTCTGCAGGTAATCTTCTTCACTTAGATATGTGAATGAGATGTTGCATTCCGCTGTTTCGCTGTAATTTTTTCTTTTTTTATAAATTAAAATTAAATTAGAAATTATGCTATAATTTTTTTTCTCTCTCTTATAATTGAAACAACGGGATGTGACATCGGTATCTCATTCGCGTATCTAAATGGAGACGATACTTGCAGAAGTTTGTTTCATCTCAAATCATATTTTAACGAGCGTTTTACTTTGGATATTTTATGTACTTTTCTCTATATTATTTACATTTTTCCCCGTTGAGGAAAATATCTATTATTTTTATAAAATAGATTTTTATAAAATATAGACGATGTAACTTTAAACGAAACTTTAAACTAAAATTTCAAACTGAAGCTAAAGCTTCAAAAGGGAAAACAGTGTGTCACAATGGTTGTGATTATTAACTTTTGACGAAATGTTTGATCAAATATTTCTCATTATCTAATATTCACTGGAACGAATTGAGGATTCGGAAGTTTAATTTAAAGTTACGTCGTTATTAATTCTTTCTTCCCGAGAGCGATATACTATTCACGGAAGAAATGCTCCTAACGGAAAAGATATACCGCTCTCGGAAAGAAGAAATGAAATATTATCAACAGCAACGAGATGTTAAATTCCACCTAATTATCATAATTGATTTTTTTTGTTAATTAATTAATTAATTAATTAATTTCGTCGCTCTAATTATTTACTCCCGGAGCTATCTCTGTTCGCTTCGTCAACGATATATAGCTACACTTACGCTCGGAAAACTTTTGTGCCTTTTCTTCGTCCCCAATTATTCGACAATGTACCAACTCGTTCAAAAGTTTAGACAACTCGGAAACCAAGTAACATTTTCTTCATATGTATTTTTCAAAAAATATATAAAGAAAAATTACTTCGTTCCCGAGTTACCTGAGCTGTATACATTGTTGAATAATTAGTGAGATGAAGGAAAGTTACAGAAGCTTTCCGAACGTAAGAGTAGCACAAAGTGAACAAAGGTATCGTGAGTTTTCGAAATATATATATATATATATATATATATATATAAAGAGGATAAAGTTATAAAGTATATAGAGAAAGGTTCGTTTCCGAGCTAAACAGATCAATTACGATAATCATAGGTGGAATTTGACATCTCGTTGCTATTGATAATATGCCATTTTTTCCCCCTTTCCGAGTTGATTTTTCAAACGAAACAAATTTCTTTCTATAATGTAAGAATATTCTGAGTTTGATTTTTATACGTAATTAAGATCTACTCAATGATAATATTACAAATAAAATATTTATTCACACGAAGAAGTCGCCGCTTTTTTTAGAAACCTTGACATATTCCGAATCTTTTAAGCGGCAGTGTATTTCCCGAAGTTTAAACGAGTAGATTTCAAGAAAAATATCTTACACAATCCACATAGGAAGTAGATATTTCGAGTTTCTCTATTTCGTATCTCTACAGGTAGCAGATGTATTTCAGTGAAACGAAGTAATCACATTCTCGTTTGAACTCTTCGCAATCGTTTTGCCAACTTTATTTCTCTCGTATAACACCTCTACCGCCTGTCATCTATTTACATTAAATTAAATCTCAGACTTACAAATAATATTAATTTTCCGGTTTTCATATTTGTCTCTAAATAGTCCTCTCGAAACGTTCGTACGTGGATTCCAATTCGCACGTATGGTAGGCCGTACGTATATAATAATATATGTATAGCTAACGTGCGAATTGAAATCCGCCTATTCTGGAGAGAACTGTCCAAAGTTAAGATAAATCGAGATATCGATATTGATATTTGTAAGTCAGAGATCCAGTTTAATGTAAACAGATGATAAGCTTTAGTGGTGTCACAATGGAAATAAATTTGTCAGAATGATTGCGAAGGATTCGAACGAGAATGTAATTAGTAGTTCGTTTCACCTAAATACATCTGCTACCTGTAGAGATACGAAATAGAGAGACTCGAAATATATGCAATCTATGTGGATTATATAAGATATTTTTCTTGAAATTTGCTCGTTCAAGCTTCGGGAAGTGCACTCCTGCTTGAAAGTTTCGGAATATGTCAAGGTTTCCAAAAAAAGCGGCGACTTCTTCGTGTGAATAAATATTTTATTTGTAATATTATCTTTTTATTTATAATATTACCATTGAATATATTTTCAATTACATTTGAAGATCAAACTCTCTACAATTATTGTCCACGAACTATCTACAGGTATGTACAAAAATTGTTATATATACATCAACAACATCTTGATAATTGAATATATGCAAATAACTACAATGCAGTTACGTGTCAATTATCAAGACTCGTCTCTCTCGTTGTCCTCGTAAAACCGAAGACGCCAAGCGTAGATGTCATCGGACAACTTTGTTCTCCGATTTGCAAAATCAGGAAACGAAGTTCAAGTGGACAACCGAAAGAACGAAGATATCGGATTTAAGGTGGTAGATCAAAAATAGGCAAAGCTTTGCAAATGTTTCTTCAGTGGTATTTAGTTTACTAATTGCTAGTAGAAAAAAAAAAAAATAATTCGCCAACTGTACCTATTTTTCAACATCTTTGCCCCTTTGAACGAAAAGAAAAGAAAAAGAGAGAAAAAAAAAGAGAAGTGCCAGCTTCCTCCATCGGGAACCACGTTCAACATCGGTCACACGCTCTCTTCTCGCTCAGTAGAGGAGACTGTACACATCTCGCGGACGACATCTATATAATCACTAGCCTTCCGTTCCAGACTTATATGTGACTTTACATATAAGTCCGGAACAAGATGTCGTCCGCAAGATGTATAGATTCATCTACAGTGCGAGATGAGAGCGTGTGACCGATGTTGAACGTGGCTCCCGATGCAGAGAGCTGGTACTACTCTCTTTTTTTTCTTTTTTTTTTTTCGTTTTCATCGGATCCTCGTCCACCTTTCGTCCTAGTAAGGCCTCCAAACTGGTTTGGTCGTTGAGGAGATTTTCGTCCCTGGGGATGGGGTCGTCCTCTTTGGCGTCAGTGGTCGCGAGATGAGAGCCGTTGGCGCTTTCAGCTCGTTCCTCGTGCTCTCGATAGTTTTCTTCGGCAGAATTCGTTCGGGGGACGAGGAGGAGGCGGTGATGGCCGACGACATCGGCGGCAGGGTGTTCAATCTGATTGGCACGAACGCGCTACGTATCTCTTCGGGAGCAGATTCGCTTCCGGACTCGCTGGGGCTCTTCGGCGGCGTTCTGGACGGGCTATTGGGGTTGGTGGCTGGTGTGGTGGTGCTGCTGCTGCTAGTTTTCGGCGGCAACGTCGCGTACTCGGTTGGATACTTCGCGTGGTCGAACGGGTACGCAGGCAGAACCGGCGGGGGGAACGCTGGCGGAAATAAATCTGGCGATGGTATTGGAATTGTTCCTGAGGACAGACGAAAGAAGTGACGGTGACGGTTAGTTGTGATTTTTCAAACAGCAGTCGAGAGTACGTAGAATTGGAAGGAAACGGTGAGAAAAAGTTAGCCGAGTGAAGGGAATTAAATCAACAAAAATTGTATCCATTTACTTGACGAGTCTTACGAGTACGGAAATATCAAATAAACGATTTACGACAATTGTCAGTTGTCAGACTTTGAATAGTAGTTGCAATTAAGCCTTCATCCAGTCGGTAATCTCTGATCTACACGTCGAGATGCTCCCGTA